CGTCGAAAGTGTTACTATAGGTTGCTTCTTCGACAGCCAAGTAAATGTTGTGTTTCCCATGAAAAACACATATCCAGAGGTGCTCTTTCGATCGTCTATGTCTCCACACCAGTCACTGTCAGAATAACCAACTAACTTGTAGTCTTCTGTTTTTGAATAAAACATTCCTAGTGATACTGTTCCTTGGATGTATCTTAGAATTCGTTTCAGCGCCTTCCAATGTGTGTGTACTGGTTCCTCCATGAATCGACTTACTATGCCAACACTTAGTGAAATGTCTGGCCTTGTGCATGTGAGATATCGAAGGCTACCTACCAAGCTTCGATATTTGCTTCCTTCGACCCGTTCTCCTCCATCAAACTTTGATAGTTTTGTACTTAGTTCCATTGGCGTCGAAGTTGGATTGCAATTCTTCATTTTATATTTTTCTAAGATTTCCTTTGCATATTTTTCTTGTGAGATGAAAATTCCAGCTTCTTCTTGTCGAACCTCCAGACCAAGAAAGAATCTCATCAGACCTAAGTTTGTCATTTCGAATTCGCTTGTCATGATGCTCTTGAAATCTTCGATCATCTGAACATCACTGCCTAGAAAGATAAGGTCATCAACATAGAGAGCAACAAGTAATAAATCACTTCCATTTTTCTTCACATAGAGGGCGGGTTCATAAGGACATTGCTCGAACCCATTCTCTTTGAAATATGTGTCAATACGTGTGTTCCATGCCCTAGGTGCTTGCTTCAGCCCATACAGTGATTTCTTCAGTTTCAACACCTTCTTCTCTTCTCCAGTTCTCATATATCCAAGTGGTTATTCGACATAGATTTCTTCCTCGAGCACACCATTCAAAAATGTTGTCTTGACATCCATTTGAAATATTGGCCATTTGAACTTAGCAGCTTGAGAAATGAGTAATCGAATTGTCTCCATTCTTGCAACAGGCGCAAACACTTCGTCATAGTCAATTCCTGCTTTCTGTTTGTATCCCTTCGCAATCAGTCGTGCTTTGAATCTTTCGATTTCTCCTTGAGCATTCATCTTTTTCTTGAATACCCACTTTACACCAATGGGTTGACTTCCTTTTGGTAATTCGACTAGCTCCCAAGTATTGTTGCGTTCGATTGCTCTAATTTCTTCGTCCATGGCACTTTTCCACTTCTTATCTCGTAACGCTTCTTCGACACTGATATTTTCAGCATCTGCCAGAAGACACACAAGATGCACCTCACTTGTTGAATCATACAAATCTTGCAAACTTCTCATTTTTGGTTGTAGAGGTTCATCTTCATCTTCAGTTTCTTCATGTTCTGTTGGAATACTTGTTGGTACAGCTACAGTTGTTTTTTCGACTGTGTCAACAACCTCTGTCGAAATGTTCCAGTCCCACTTGCTTGCTTCGTTCATTCGAACGTCTCTGCTCACGATCACTTTCTTGCTTATGAGATTGAAGAGCTTGTACCCTTTCGTCTTCTCATCATATCCAATGAATATGTACTTCTGACTTTTGTCTTCAAGCTTTGTTCTTCGTTGATCTGGTACATGTGCATAAGCTATACTACCAAATACCTTGAGATGAGAAATTGTTGGCTTCTGTCCACTCCATGCTTCTTGTGGTGTTTTGTCTTCTAACTTCGAATGTGGACATCTATTCTGAATATAAACAGCACATTGTACTGCTTCTGCCCAGAATTATTTCGACATGTTCTTGCTTTTGAGCATTGATCGAACCATGTCAAAAATAGTTCAATTCTTCCTTTCAGCCACACCATTTTGCTGAGGTGAATATGGTGCAGTTAGGAATCTCCTTATGCCATGTTCTTCACAGTACTTCGCAAAGGCCATTGAAGTATACTCACCTCCTCTGTCAGATCGAATTGCTTTGATGTGTCTGTCTGTTGCCTTCTCTACCATTACTTTGAACTTTTTGAACACTTCTAATGCTTCAGACTTTTCTTTCAGGAAGTAGACCCAGGTTTTTCTTGAGAAGTCATCAATAAAAGAAATGAAGTACCTTTTTCCACTGAAGGATTCTGGAGTGATTGGCCCACATATGTCAGTATGTATCAATTCGAGAATATGTTTAGCTTGATACTCTGCCTTCCTTTGAAATGAGGTTCTTGTTTATTTGCTGAGCACACATTCTTCACAGAATTTTCCTTCGAAATCCATGTCTGATAGTCCATGCACCATGTTCCTTTTCGCCAACCTTCTCAAACCAGCATGATGTAGATGACCAAAGCGCATATGCCATAGTGACGCTTTGTCTTGCACTTCGATTTGCAGACATTTCTCTCGAATGTTCCTCAGGTTCAGTTTGTACATTTGATTTCTTTCCATTTTGACAGCGGCAATCAGATATCCTGCTTTGTCCTTCAAAAGCAGTGTTCGATATTTCATCAGTATCGAAGCACCTTTTTCTGTAAGTTGTCCCAGACTTAATATGTTGGTCTTGAGATCTGGTACATAGTAAACGTCTTCGATTGATCCAATCAAGCCATCCTTCTGTAAGTAACTGATTGTGCCCTTTCCTTCGACCTTCACTTTCGATGCATCTCCAAAAGACACATTACCATCTTCAATTCTCTTCATATCTTTAAAAAGGTGTTTGTAACCACACATGTGATTACTTGCTCCTGAGTCAAGATACCAAACAATGTCATTGGTGTTGATTTCGTTTTGAGCCATCAGGAGAAAGCCTTCATTCGATTCAGCTTCCAAGGCTAGCTTGGTTGTTTCTTCAATCTTCTTTTTTATTCGACAGTCTTTTGCAAGATGTCCCACTTTGTCACAGTTGTAACATTTGTAGGAGTTACAATCCTTCGCATAATGACCATACTTCCCACACTTGTAGCATTCGAAGTTGGAATAATTCGAACGACCACCTCTTTGACCACGTCCTCTGCCACGCCAATTTTGTTGGCTCGATTGTCCTCTTTCGAAGTTGCTACCTCTACCACTTCGACCACTGTCACGACCTCCACGTCCACGTCCTCTTCCTCGAAAGTTGTGAGAAAAGAGTACATTTTCGTCTTTGTTCGATTCCTTGGTTTGGTTTGCTTCTTCGTCTGCTTCTTCTTTCTTTTTCATCTTTCGTTGTTCATGTGCTTCGAGAGAACCAGCGAGCTCTTCGATTGAGAGCGTTGAAAGGTCCTTCGACTCTTCTATTGCACATACAATATTTTCAAACTTGTCTGTTAAAGATCTCAAGATCTTTTCAACAACTCGTGCATCAGGTACTGTCTCTCCATTTCTGGTGAGTTGATTCACCACCTTTTGCACACGTGTGATGTAGTCAGATACAATTTTTGTATCCTTCATCTGTATCCTCTTCAATTCGCCACGAAGAGTTTGGAGTCGAACTTGCTTCACTCGATCTGCTCCTTTGAACACTTTTTCTAACGTGTCCCACGTTTGTTTCGACGTAGTCGAACCAGCAATTTTCTCGAAGCCTGATTCATCTACAACCCTGAACAACATGTATAATGCCGTTTTGTCCTTCGATCGCGTCTCTTTCAACGTCTTCGTTTGAGCTGTCGTATATCACCCAACTTCTGTTGGTTCTTCAAACCCATCATTGGTCACTTCCCACGCGTCTAGAGATCCAAGAAGAGCTTTCATTTGAATACTCCAGTTTTCATAATTAGACTTCGTTAGTCGTGACAACGGCATTTGATTCATCATGTTTGCCATGAGCTCTGATGCCAAATTGTTATAAAGTGATCAGACTTCTATATGAAATACTTCTATATTGCTCTTCTTATAAAATGAAATACACTCTTGGTCTTTTATAGACCCAAATAGCTTTTACAATTCTAAAACATAAACTAAAACATAACTCCTACTAATAACTTACTAAAACTTTTGTCCTTCCTACTACCATGTTTAATGTAAAACTTTATTACTAACACATTTAATGTTTATTCAACAGTGTGCAGCGAAATCCGGTCGGGGTGGTTCAAAAATGCCTTGTGGAACCATGAAGTACCATATTGCTGTATGACTCAGACCTACATGAATATCACGAGTGTGTGCTGAAAAGGAGGTCTGACTCGAAGGAGACGTACCTTGCCCATGGATGGTACAAATTTGCTAAAGGTAGGAAGCTCCAGGTAGGCGACGTGCTGCATTTCTGTATCTGATATCCTCCGGTGAGTGAAATATTAGTCAGTGTAGAGCATCGAAATGAAGTGTGTTGAGAAACGGTGATTTGGTTCGAAGCAGTGCGAAGTCATGGTGTTATTTTGGAATTATCAAAGGTGGCGTTTGTCCGTAAATGATTGAATTTAAGATATTGTGTTGTTGTATTGTAGAAGTAGTAAATTTGGAATTGTTGTTATGTAAGAATTATCTGGCTTGTTAATTAGCAGTAGTTTTGGACAATCAATGGCAGTTTTAGGCCATTTATGTGTACTTTAATGTTTTGTATATTTAAGTAATTTTCCATCATTTGTATGTGAAAGCATTTTGTACTAAATTCTGATTAACAATGCTTAATTTACAGTATATTGCTTTTGTAGTTCCTTTTTGTTCAACGTATTCACGTTTGATATTTCAATGCAACCATTTTAGAAAAAGTATAAGAGAGCCTCATATGCACAGTCTGAAAATGTAATTTTAGTGGTTCCATATTACGTTTAGCAGATTGCTTAACATCGTGTGGTTAGGATATTATCATAATTTTTGGTGTGGTTCTAAAAGTATTTTTAAAAAGCAAAATGGAGTACTTTATACACGTGTATGCTCTTCAAAAGTCACAACATTAAAGACAACATAACAAAAGTCCAAAAGTCACAACATAACAAAAGTCCAAAAGTTACAAAATTTTGGTGTGTGTCATAAATAATTGGGCCTTTACTGTGCACGTGAAGAAACCACGTTGATTACAAAATGAATAGGCTGAGGTGTTAGGAAAACCACTTAAATTCCATTTGTGTGTCGAAGGTTTCAACCTGCTCAAAACCGTTCACTTGCTGTCATCAAACGATCAATAATTTACATCCATGGATAGGAGTGAAGTACCGGTTCACACAGAGCTCGTCGACACTTTTGCAATTGCAAAAAATAGCCTCCCAAGTAAGGGTGCTTGTTATTTTTTAATTGAAAGGTAAAACCGATTTGTTGCAATTTTTGCAAAATTGTTTATGTTAACTTTTAAAATGGGATTTGATTTGTGATTGTAGTTATTTCTGGAGATCGAGCCTTTACTTGCTACAACTCACAATGCATATCTAAAAAAACATGGAACATTATAAACAAAGAAGGTATCATCCATTCGGTACTTTATACTCAAAGTGAGGATGATCCAGTTGTGCTCACTGGTTGGTTGGAGGTACAAAATTATTACTTACTACGTGGTTGTCATTGTCGGTTATTACGGAAACAACATGTTTGAGGTGTTTGGATTTAAAGAGATCACCGCATTTCAGGAACTATCTAACTTTCATATATGCATTTGATGTTTATCTTACACTAATAAGTGTGTTCACAAGAAAATTAGTTGAGTGAAATAATAGTTCTAATTAATTATTTCGGAATAAGCCATACATGAAACCTCATTGATTGGTCTCGAACTGTATTATTTATGTAGAAATTATAGGAAGATTTTACAAGGGTGTTGAGAGACCACGATTATAAAGTTATGACACTCTGCGGTGACAACGGAAGGACTCAAATGCTCTTAATTTTGAAGATACAAGATTCACACCTTACTAAGTTAGCTTATGAATGGGATGCGTTTTACAAGTAAAACCAGTTCAGAGTCGGAGACAAAACTATATTCCAATTGGATGTAACCGCCGCCAACAAAACATGTCACGTATATAAGCTTTGTTACGCGTGTTGGAAACTCACCAAAGTCTATGATAAATTTATACCACAATGACAATTTAATTATGAGACAAACATAGAAAAGAAGACAAGACAAATAATTTATGCAGAGTTTCTCTCTGCTCACAAAGTGTGAAAACTTTGTTATTCACTTTGCAACTGCAAAATACTGTGAATGACTTGCTTGACTTGCTTACAAAAATAGGTGTTACTCCCTCTATTTATAACTGAGCTTACACCCTAAGTGTAATACCCCAATTCTACCCCAAGCAAATATGCAAGATAAATCAGAGTTATAACATTTCAATCATACAAATGAATCGGGACGTCACAAATTCTTCTAACAAATTCATTGCATACATCATGGATATATAACATTTTTTCAAAACGTGGATGAACCAACAACATAGCATCTTTAATAAAATATTCAACAACTACGCAGCGGAATTCTCCAATAACATCTTTGAATAAAAGCAACGACTTCGAAACATCTCATATTTAATAATAATCAATTCCAAAATTCAGCAACTGAAAATCAACAATCAAAGATCAGCAAGCGTTCATCCCCCCGAGTGTTACATATCAGAGCAATGACACCGACTCGATCTATTGAAAGTATACGGCCTTCACTCTCGATTACCTGCACGTTACCAACATAGGGGCAACATTCAAACAGAAGGGGTGAGATATCTAACAATATAATCAAGTGCATGATAATCAATATATTAAATTAGATCATTCATATCACCACTTCTCATCTCATAATCAACAATAATTACAGCATATATATTCATTCATCAACATCAAATACATCTCATTATTCATTCATATGATGCGACTCAAAACTATGCAAATGCATGTGGTACCATTGGAGCATAACTCCCATCTCAAAAATCTAATATGTCAATTAATAGAGGCATCAAATAAGGCATAGCCTTCATCTCAAAATTTTCCAATTCAAGCCATCTCAACGAGCATAAACTCCATCTCAAAAATGCAATGTATACGACTCAACATGAATGTAATAACACACTCAGTTAACAACATCTCAAAACAACAACATCTCAAAACAACAACATCTCAATCATCAAAACGATAACATTTCAGTCATCTCAAACAACAACATCTCAATCATCAAAACGACAATATTTCAGTCATCTCAAACAACAGCATCTCAATCACAGCATCTCATAAACATCTCAAAGTAATTTGTTAAACATTACTTATTTATCAAACATCATTTGTTCATCATAATTATCAAACACAACTCTAATAATCACATCTCACTAATAACTCAGTTGTATATTAATAATACAGTAAGCCATACTGTTATTTTGCAGTTCTACTTCATTTTTGTCATTAATCTTACTGTCATAATTCTAACAGCAGCCTCTAACATCTCAAAATTCATCCATTGGTCCTAAAACAGCACAAAAGTCATCTACGGGAATTAATTCTAAATCCTAAATTAGTTACTGGAGTTACACCTCTTAATCATCATTTTAATCATCTAAAATAAAGTTCATCGCGTTAGCTAATCAACGCTTCGAACGGCATCTCAAACAACATCCTAAAACTCAAGTTATAGTAACTTAAAACTGATTCTGTCAAAATTATTCAGTATGCATCGACACAAAACACTATGCATCGACTCATCCTACTTCTTCTTCACGCTATGAGTCGATGCATCCCTCTATGGATCGACTCATTCTAGCTTTCAATACAGCATGTATCGACACATGCATCGCACCGGTCGACTCATCCTGAGTCTCACACACTCATGTATCGACGCATCCTCCCTTCGCATCGACTCATCCTGAGCCTTACACTTAACATGCATCGACGCAAGCATGCATGCATCGATTCATCCTGAGTCAAACATCCTCCATGCATCGACTCATCCAGTTTGAGGTCGACACATCCTGCAATTTTTTGCATAATTTTCTGCGTTTCTACTGTATTTTCACTACTGGAATATAATCACAGTCCTACAAACCTCATCCTAACCATGATAATTCATCACCTAATCATTAACCTTTAATACTACATCGTTTACACAGCATCATAACATCATTTATCCATCGAGAATTCATCAATATTCATCATACATCATTCAATTCAATAACAAAAACAGCAATCCTCTAATCCCACATATCAAACATCATGATCCCAATTATAAAGCCAGAACCCCACCCTTACCTTGGATCGAAGGTCGCTCTATAATTTCTGGGTTGAATCTTTGTTCTTGTCGTTTCCTTCAAAACCAGCAGCTTCACGTTTCCACAATCCTTATTTTTCCTTCTACTGTTTCTTCTTTCTATTCTAACAACACATAATAAAATAACCTAATATTATTAGATTATTCCTTAATGGGCTCCTACTTACACCCTCTTATTACTTATACTCACACAATCAAGTCTCACATTAAATAATATTAGCTTCTAACATTATTTCTCATAATAATATAATACCTCAAATATATTATTATTTCTCCATTTAATAAAATGAATCCAATTTAATAATACTTCTTCACAATTATTCCAAAAATAATTTAATTAAATAATTAATTAAATTACAGGCGTTACACTAAGCCCAAAGCCCAAAATATTTATTTTGTTACTAAATCAAATCTAATATATTCTAGACTTAAATCAAATCTATTTAACTCTAAAATAAATCAAATATTTTCGACACATTGTTTCGACACACTGAATTACAATTTAACACACCACCTAATTCATTGTGTCTAAACTATTTATGTTCATCATGGCTCTTAGCTTTCTGAATACTTCGACTTGCACTCCCTTCGTCATGATGTCTACAATCTGATTCTCAGTTCTGCAATGTTCCAAATTCATCTTCCCATCTGCTACCTGCTCTCGAAGATAATGGAACTTCATTTCGATGTGTTTACTTCGACCATGTGCTATTGGGTTCTTTGCCAGATTGATAGCTGACATGTTGTCGATCTTCATGGTAATTGCTCCATGATCATTCCCTGTTATCTCTTCGACCAAGTTCACCATCCAAGTTGCTTGACATGCACAAAGAGAAGCAGCTATGTATTCTGCTTCGCATGATGATAATGCCATTACTGGTTCCTTTCTCGAATTCCAAGCAACTAGTGCACCACCTAGCATAAACATATATCCTGTTATTGACTTTCGATCTTCAGCATCACTACACCAACTCGAATCAGTGTATCCCACTAACTTGCATTCTTTTCCTTTGTCAACTGTAGGAAACAAAATGCCATAATCGAAAGTTCCTTTGAGATACCTCAGTATCCTTTTTACTACTGCTAGATGTGATACATTTGGCTTCTGCATGAATCTACTTACCATACCTACACTGTATGCTAAGTCAGGCCTTGTATGACAAAGATATCTCAATGACCCAATAAGTATTTTGTATTGGGTTGGATCAACATCATCTTCATCTGCATCTTTCGACAGTTGTAGTCTTGGTTCTACAGGTGTCGAAGTTGAGTTGCATTCTTCCATCTCAAACCTCTTGAGAATTTCTCCTGCATATCTTCTTTGATGCATCATCAAACCTCTACTGCTCTTGTAGAATTCGATACCAAGGAAATATGAAATCTCACCCAAGTCAGACATTTCGAATTTCTTGCTGAGATCACCTTTGAAGTCTTCGATCTCACTCTTGCAGCTACCTGTTATCAATAAATCATCTACATAGAGACATAGTATAAGCAATTTACTCTTGCTTCATCTTACATATACTTCATGTTCAGTTGTGCACTTCACAAATTCCTTCTCCCTTAGGAAACTATCAATTTTCTTATTCCAAGTCCTTGGAGCTTGTTTCAATCCATACAGGGCTTTATGCAGCCTGTACACCTTCCTTTCTTCGTCATGTTTCACAAATCCAACTGGTTGTTTAACATAGACTTCTTCATCTAAGGGTCCATTTAGGAATGCACACTTCACGTCCATCTGACATATGTGCCAACTGTTTATTTCTGCTAGACCAACAACCAACCTGATTGTTTCGATCCTAGCAACAGGTGCAAAAACTTCATCGGAGTCTATTCCTTCTTTCTGTAGAAATCCTTTCGCCACAAGCCATGCTTTGTGTCAAGTTACTTCCCCTTTCAAATTCGTTTTCACTTTGTATACCCACTTGACATCAATTGCCTTCTTACCTTGAGGTAATTCGACAAGTGACCAAGTGTTGTTGTCTTTGATAGACTTCACTTCTTCGTTCATTGCTTTCACCCACTTCGAATCCTTCAATGCTTCAGCTGCATTAACAGGTTCGACATCTGCATAGAAAGCATAATGTACCAGCTCACCTTCATTATCTATTACATCATCTGATGTAATCACACAATCTTGCAATCTTGCAGGCATGCGTCTTGTTCTTTGAGGCCTGCTTGTACTTGGTATATCTGCTGGTTCCTCTTGTCGAACTTCTCTTTCGACTTGAGTTTCTGGCTCTTCAAGTAGGATTCCCACTAAATCTTTCTTGACATTTTCAGTCCAATCCCATTCTTTAAACTCATCTATGATCACGTCCCTGCTTATCACGATCTTCTTGTTCTTTGGATCGAACAACTTGTAGCCTCTTGTCGAATGATATCCAACTAGAATCATTTGACTTGACTTGTCATCAAGTTTTCTTCTCAATTGATCTGGAACATGTCTATATGCAATAGATCCAAATACCTTTAGATGACTCAAGCTAGGTTTCACACCAGACCAACATTCTTCTGGAGTAATTCCTTCTAGCTTCTTTGTAGGACATCTG